AAAGGAAGGCGTTTAGAACTGCTTTCTTTGTGATATTCTTAGTTAACAATCTTGTTGTTGAAATCTTGAAATCAACCACAATATCGATAATCTACCACTTGTCTGAAACAACGGCTACTGATCTTCGAAGATATCACATCATTTAGGATTATTGCGAACTCTCGTTCATCTCATCGAAAATTTCTTACAAGATTCATACCATTTAATACTTAACGAATGTGGAAGATCAAGCATAAGATCAAGAACATGGATTGCTAGGCAGCTATTTTTGAAAATTCAAACTGACTGACTGACTTTGATTTCTCTGAAATATAAAACACTCCACAGAGCGGCTACTCCTCCAGGGAGTACGGTGATTATCGGATATGCGATCGTTTGACTGAGATTATCGTTCGCTACAAACAACAGTGTCATCCCAACGGCCCATTGAGCACCACACAGCAGTGAGGGCAACACTAATCGTCGATAGATCATAGGACGACCACGTCTGGAATAAGATTATCGACCTTGTTCGGAGCCTATCATTAAATTGTATGACTTCAGGTCATAACGTATTATTAAAAAAGCTCAGACACCATCCACTCAGAAGCAGAAAACTGAATAGACCAATGGAAAATAGATAAGAACGTCCGTCTCTTAAGAAAACATCCGTGAAGACAACAAACATTACTTTGCAATTGAATAGATAATAAATATTGACGATGTTGTGAGCAGGATTCCAGTGAAGTACGAGAACACATACGCTGAGCCATTTTCGGGTGCTTGAGGAAATTCTGCATGATGGTCCTGAAATTCTTCAAGCTATGAAGAAGGCTGATTGATCAAGAATGATTGGTAGTGATCAATTATACAGGCTTAAATGAAGTTGATCTCGTTCTTGTGGCACTTCTACACGAAATCGCTATCATTCAGTATGTTGGGAAGAATTGCTCACTTACATCTTTCAATTTNTGGCACTTCTACACGAAATCGCTATCATTCAGTATGTTGGGAAGAATTGCTCACTTACATCTTTCAATTTCAAATCGCAACGAGTATTACCGTAATCAGATTTGACATACTGTTCATCTCAATGCTGCTCTTACATTCATATAATTGATGCTGGAGCTGCTTGCCACATAATAGTCTAACGACTACAGAATCGATAAACATAGAAGATGTGCCAGGGAAAGTATCAGCAACATACATCAAAGTTCTAACATAGCAAGGAATGTGGTTAGAGATATCCTTCTGAAGAGATTAATTTTGTTGGAAGAAATTCACCAACCTGCATGTAAATAACTGGTGTTGTTCTACTGCCGTATAGCAAACCATCAATGACACAAAACAATAGAGCACTGAAACGTGATTTTGTACGTGTGAAATTTCATTGAACTCACGTTCTCGTCTTCAAAAATTACATGATTATTGAATTCGATTAGCAGTGATTATGAAGATAAATCCGAGGATTGTGTTAAACTAATATTTTAAGAGGTGAAGCTAATATTATTGAGAACATCTTGCACAATATCTCTCATTCTTAAAGGTAAAAGGATTTCCCGTCCAAGCATTTTTTTGTTCTCATATTGTTCCTCAGTCGATCATCAAAGCTCGGATTCGATCAGACAATCACATCAAGCAACTAACATTATTCGTTGATGCCCAACAATCAGTGCATGAATTCGCTGAATTAAATTTTTTGGAATTGCGCTATCCGTTTTCGACTTATTATCATCATTCACTTGAATACTTGTTGTCTGCAATCTTTTTCCGTTCGTTGGTTTCATTCGGAAAAGCTTTCCATCCGTTCGAATAAATTATTTATCGATGTGTGAGAGAAACGAACGGTATCTTTATGATTTGTTCCGTTGAGAAGCATCAAACATCAAAAATAATCTAATCTTCTTATGTGATTATCGACATTACAACGTTAGTTACCATCGTCATGTTGAATTGAATTTATGACTGCTCAAAACATGAAACGGTGACCTACGCCTAGTGGCTTGAGGTGAACGATATTTTGTCACGCTGGCAAATTCAACAGTGAATTCCGAATTATTAAACACGCTTGTTCTTTTCTTTGAGTCTTCAAAGTAGAAGCAGTCTAAGTTTATTGCAGATTTGAACATTAGAATCTGATAGGTTGGCTGGATTGATATCATTATTTCAAGAGTGCAAAATGGTACTTACGAAAATATCCATTGACATTTTTGCTTTCGGCCTACCTGGCTGTTTATGAACGAAGAGAAACATAACACCACTGCAACATAGTCTTAGTCACTTCATCATTCTGTGCTGCAGAAAATGAGCAAAGCCAGGTTTTCAATAAATTTTATTCCTCAGTAAATGATTTCATTCATCTAGGTTTTTTTTTGATTAATGCAACCAAGTGCTTCTTCAACTACCGGTTAATCAATGACATTTCTGAACTCCAACGTGGCATTCAAGGAGTTGTCTTCTGATAAACTGGACAATTCGCGAATAGGAATTGTCGTCGTGAATTAATTGACGAGAGGAACGTTGTTGTGGGATTTCGATCAATTCGAGTTGGCTTAGTTGGTTTAGGGCAGATAAATGTTTTTTTTTGAAAACTTAAAGCTATTTAATCCTAAAGAATAACATAGAGAGACGGAAAAAATCACACACGGACTGACCCGATGACCAATAGAACAAGTCCGAGATAGTTGAGGAGGTCACTCTTTGGTGGTTCTGGAAGTGTACCAAAAAGACCGAATCGGGATGTGGCCCATCCCATGATACAGGATACAGTGTTCCAGATTAGCAGCGCAAGAGCTAGACCCAGCACCTCAGTTAACATTATGGCTGTGCTGTTCGCTGAAATACCGAAAGCATCCATTTTATCTTCATCCCGATCCAATCTATGCTGTATTGGAATGACTGTCAAGCTATTCATTTTTGAGATGCTGATTGAAGCATCCAACACAATAACGCTTCAAGTAGGCAAGTCATATCATATTCTCTCCTGTTTAAGATATAATCTTCTACCAGGGGATATACTATAACAATTACATACTGCTCGCCAGCGCAAAGAGAAGATCGAACGATATGTTGAAATTCAGATGATCAAAGCCATGAAATATGAACGAACCCACCCACTCCCCAGAATAATCCACCAAGCATTGGAAGTGGATAAAACGGTGGAAAATGATTCCAGGCCAAAACGATGAAACCAACGAAGATTATTGCGATACCCATCATGAACTGCACAAAAATACCTGAAACATTTACATAAGTTCATCGGGTTGACCGCAAATCTCTCAATCACATAGCTTCCAGTAACAGTGACTGATACAAGAATAACCATGATATTATTGACGAAAGCCATATCGTAATTATAATTGCTTTTTATCAGTCAAAATTTCAACATTTCCAATTCCCTTCCTCTCATTCTTTCGAGTGTGTTCGAACGTTTTCTGATTCATTTCGCTTAGATTGAAATTATTTCTCATTCTTTATTTATGCTTTCATCGCATTTTTTTCACTATCTTATGGATGTAATAACAAGTTTCTATGCGTACACTGTTTATGCCCTTTCTGTTTGGCAGACTACTATTTCATCAACAAAAGAGCAAACGTACTGAACAGTAGGCGCTCTACGTTGAAAATGCCCAGATGTTTCATGCTTTTTTATCGCACTGTTTTCACCTAGCCGTTGCAACCCAACTCTAAACCACACTCGAAACCTAAATCTCAATCTAAACCTGAGCTAAACCTGACTCATCGAGTAATTTGCTGTTCGCTGTTTTTATCAATTAAAAAACATCATGATTATACATCTTACCACGAATATATTGATGTCAACAAGAAGTAAATTCCTCCACTATGCCCGCATGCTAACATGTTGCGGATAGCACCGATAAAAGGAATGCCTTATATTGATCTCATATGATCAATTCATTAGATTTTCATGCATTTGAATAGGATTATATTGTTCTTCTATAGTAAATTCATTGGAATATCAATTCATTTGGACGTAATCCCTTGAAAACATGAACGAAGCGATTAATAAAACGGAAAGTGTGTGTCTATTTTTTTGAATTGTTATCATGCATGTGATCAAGTGTGTTTATTACACAATAACAACGCAGATTGATTCGAAACAAGCACCCAGATATAGTACGAAACAAGTACATTACATCAATGGCTTTCGGTGTTTTTCACATATCAAATGTAAATTCGATGCAAATAAGTCGAGAAAAAATCACGAGATTTATAGCAAACAAAAAAAAACTGAATGCAATTCAATTCGCAGCAAAAATTCACTTACCATCTCCACAATTGTAGCGTTTAANTAACCCTAAAATCGAAATGAAACGAAATCGTATGGTCGATGCTATCTATGCTCAGCTTCATTCCGCAGTGTATAATTCATCATTTAGCGACCATTGAAAATTGCTAGTCATAGTCACAGCAGTCATCATCATTGGTATTGTTTAAAATCCAGTGGCATCGCTTCGAATAACTCAGATTACAATAACACTCGTTTAGATAAAACAATCAATCGTATTCATAGAAGATTAGTGACGGTTCGTGAGCAGAGGCAAGTTTGCGATTCAAAAACTTCAAAAGATAACGTAACCAATGCATGATCTAGTTGACTAAATCAATGTGGAACCAAAACATCGTCGCTCAACAATGATGAATAATTTTTCCTTCATTCAAATTGTCATCGAAACAATTTATATTTTTGCTTCAATAAATGATAACATATATTTGAAATGCCGTCTGCCATTACGAGTGAATGTGTTAAGCTAGAACGGAACGGATTTATATGCGATTGTATTCATTGTGGGAAAGTTAGCGTGATTTCTCGCAGATTTGCAACGTGACTGAATGCTAGAAACATCTGTAGTGCAATGAACAATATGTTGACTTAAATAACTTAACAAATTTTTCATTCCGTAAGAAATTTTTCCTCTAAACCACGTTCGATTCCTAGCTCAACCCTGAATCCGAGTCTAAAACTAATATTTTCATTCAGTAATCAAAGACTTTGGGAAAAGGGGAAAATTTGAGTAGGCAAACGTTAAAGTTTTCAAATAAATCTTCTGCAACACAACCAGGCGACGAGAACTTCAACTGTTCAGAAGGAGAAGTTTAAATGATAAAAAATGCCGATCCATTGATATTGATATCACCAGCACAACAGTGGAAATGGGTTAAAAGTGAACAAATGCGACATGACAATAAAACGGCTATAAATTTTCCAATTAAAGTGCAAAAAAGTGCTACATTGCCCTTCGTTCAGGAATCGTGTTGATGGTGCATTTGGACGATACAGAGTTTTCGAGCGAACGCCCATCACTTTCTTACATTTAAAGTAA